GGATAGGGAGGGGAATCGCGATCGAATACACGCCGATACCGTTTAACGAGGAGACGCGCGCCGAGTCGTCCCCATCGACGACGATATGTCTAACTGAATCCTCATCCGCGCCGTCCGCTCGGCGAGCCATCGACCGAAGCATTCTCACAACCCGCGAGCCGAACGAACGCGACGCCTTCTCGTTAACAAACGAAGCGGACCGAGTGCATCGACTACATTCGTCGAGGAACGTTCCCCCGATCGCCAACGGAACGCACGCGGAGGACGAGCTTCGAGGGTGCGCGACGAACGTTAATAATAAATCGGTCGTCGCCGAAGGACAAACACGAGGAAGGAAGCGGTCGCGCTTCCGCGCAGCTCCGTGACGACAACGATCTCCCAGCGACGACGAGCGAGAGCTGTCCCTCGAAACCGGTCCCGATAGCGGAGCGGCCTCCTCGGTCTCGCCGACCGAAGCAAGGCTCCCGCCGTTCCGTCTGTCATCGTTCCCCGCGCCGACACTCGTCACTGCGAAACCAATCCCGTTTACGCACGCGTCGACGGTACAACGGGTTACGGCTTACACCCTACGAACAGAGGTCCGTCGCACTATTAATAGTCCTATCGCTACAGAATTCGATTCCCAGCGGTCACACACTCGAGAAGACGCGAGAGAGTCGTGTCCGGTGTCCTAGGTCGGGTCCTCCTCCCACTGGCAGCCACGCGGTTCTTGGCTTGCCACGGCTTCGAAACAACGGAAAACGGAAAATGGAAACGGAAACGTAAAAATGTATAGGTGGGGCCGGTCTCAGACGGCCCCGGGTTTAAATCGTTATGGCTAATGAAACGCGGCCAGCCGTCGAGCAGCCGCGTTCACGTTTGAGCTAAAAACGTTGTCCCCGAGCGCGCTCTGGGCAAACGGGGATGCGACCCGTGACACGTTGGTCGCTCCGGAATCGTGGCCCCCTTCAGGAACGAGCCACCGTCGTAGTCGTCGTCATCGTCTTCGTCATCGTCGTCGTCGTCGTCGTCGTCGTCGTCGTCGTCGTCGTCGTCAGGGGGTGTGTTAGGTACTTCTGGACCCCCTGGTTCATGGCAAGGACGCGGCTCCTCGGCCCGTCGGCGACGCGTCCAGTCGTCTAGACCGGGCTCCGTCGACGGCCAGTGTCCAGGCGTCAACCGGTGACCGGACGTCGAGGAGCGCGTCCGTCGTCCTAGCCCCGGAAGACCAACAGGACGACGAGATCCCGCCGGCGTGGGCGTGTCCTAACACTCGCTGTAGGATGGCGGCGGCATCCCGCGGCCGGTGTACATGTCCGTCTGCGGCTGTAGGTGACAGACGACCGTGTGGCCGTCCAGAACCGCGACCGTTCTCGTGTGATCTTGCTGGGGCGGTATGCCGTAGGTGGCCGGCAGGCGAGGCAGCTCGCCGCGCTCGTACCTCGCCTGCTGCTTCCGCAGCTTCTCCCAGCAAGCGTTCAGGGTCCTCTCGACCGCGGGACTGTACTCGGACGGGTCGTAGTGCATGTTGCCGCCGCCGCCGCCGCGGTCCGTCAGCGTCTGCCCGTAGTGCACCAGGTTCCTGTCCGTCGCGGGCGAGTACGGTATCAGCGGCCTGTGATCACCGTAACTCCTCGAGGACTGCCTGCTCATGTCGCTCTGCCTCCTGCCGTCCTCGTCCGACATGTCGGACACCTGGATCTCTCCGCCGCCGCCGACGCCGGCGCGCTCGATCTCCTCGTACACCGGATCGTCCTCGTTCGCCAATCCGCGCGGCAGATGCACGTGCTGGCCGTGATGGCCGTGCAGCTGATGGTGACCCGGACCGTTCGCCCTGCCGTCGATGATCTCCGTGTACGTGTGATTGTACGGCATCGCGGCCCTCCTGCCGCCGCCGGTGGTCCTCGTGCCGCTGATCTCGTTGTTCTCGTTGATGCCACGCCCGCCGCGGTTCCGACCCGAGTGGCCTAGGGTCAGTGTGTTGTGCGTCCTGGGGGAGTCCTCCTGCTCGGAGCCGCCGTGTCCGGAGTCGCGGGAATACGATTTAAAAGAAATGTTCTGTGGGAAAGATAGATTCGATTCAGCGGGGTTGTTTCTGGCTGATGGACGGGGGTCGACGGCGAACAGAAAATAATGGGTTGCGTGTCATTTGGTTTCGTAACCGGGGGATGCGTCGCGATGATGTGAACGTTGATCCTTGCGGGTTCTCTTAAGAGACACTTGTCTCTTTTCTATCGAATGGTTGTCGTTATACATTTGGTTTTCGCGTGCTCACGCGGTGGAAATTTTGAAACGCAAGGCCTTCGTTTCCACGGCATCGATCAGTCGAGTAATGGAACGAGTCCCCGAGGACGGTCCTCGGCGGCCTCGGAGAACGTTTCACACAATCCGCGAGCCTCGCATGCATGGTGGAAGGGATGAGTGAGAAAATTCCGTACGTGCTGTATGATATGTACAAATGCTATATGGTCATCGACAAGTCCCGCGATCTCTTTCATTCGTTTTCTACTGAACATAAATGAAACACACACAGGGAACGAGCTACACGGTCGTCGGCAAAGAAAATACGTCCGTTCGTCTTCGTACTTCCGCGGGTGAAGAGACTTCGGGATCGGTCGTTGCAGCCGGGGTCGTGCGAACGTCCCGGTCGAATTTCATCGGCGCGAACGAGGAAACGGATGAAATACACTCCCTTCCGTTTCTGTCTCGCGTCTCTCGTTGATAAATTTCGAGGGGAACGCTCTCGCGGAGACCGAAACGAACGACGCGCGAGAACGGTGACGGGGGCTGCCTGCGTTCGGAACAGACACTTTTATCATCGGGAACAATTTTCCCCACACCTCCATGCTATTCCCGAAGCGGTTTGGGGGCGCTATCGAACCGTCGGGGATGTTTAACTCTAAGTGTGCAAGATGTGTTTCTAGGTGCTGGTCAAAGTACGAGAACGAATGTACACGGTAAACGAAGAAAACGGCACACCATGCAGTGAACGTGAAAATGAAACTCAGGTGAACCAGAAGAGTACAGAGCACAGAACAGAGAATATATATATATATAAAGAGAGAGAGGACAGTTCGATCGAGACGAAAATAGAGAGATAGAAAATAAAACAAACGACACGGGCGAGCGTGTGTGAGCGAGCGTTAGCTGCGGTGAGTTAGTTACCTTCCACATGAGGTTTTTGTTAAGGTGGCCCCAAGTGGCGGTGGCAGATTTGGGGATATTGGGAGCTGAGGGTAAGAAGGCGTGACGGGCGTACGGCAGGGTGGCCACGATGTGAGCCTCTGTTGGAGAGGATTCACCTGGCACTGTTACTGCCGGTTGCCTATCGACTATCGCCCAGCTTCGACCGGACGCCAGGTACTGGAAAAATCGAACCATTCGCCGTTCCCTCTTAACCCTTCGTTTACTGATTCGTTGTGTGAAAGAAAAAGGGGGGATGGGAACGAACCGTCGGGTGTGTAAACGTGTGCATCGACCGTTCGCGGAGTGTTCGATGGAATACTCGAGCCACGTTCGAGCGAGTGCGTCGGAGAGAAGAGTCAAAGGTTCATTCGACGATTCAAATTGTTTAAAATTTTACGATTAATATTGAATGTATTTCTCGTCGATAATTGATAGGTCTCGGTTGAAACGAAAGTTTATTTCAATAATGTATATTTTATATATATATTTTCAATATCATCGACGAAGCACTCGCGGGAATGTGTCTTAAGGATGCCATGCCGATATTATACCTTTCGACGGATGATTTCCAGTATCAAGGGGTGAAGCGAATGACGAAGCGTTTCACGAGACGCGTTTAAACAAATGGATCTATCCGTTCGGTACAGGGGTTATTAAAGTTTCCCTCGCGTTACGTAAGAAATCCACGTCTTGGAAAATAAATCAATACCACGGGTACGGTTAATATAATTCTGTTCACGAGTACGCGGTAGGGTCGAGCGATTATTTAGCGGTGTTGTTGTTCGCGCTCACAAATCACGGTAATTCAGTCCGTCGAAACTTCCCGAGAGCTACTGAAAGTATCCGTCGACCAGTAAACAAAGGGTTGCTCGAGTCCCTCGGAACCTTCGACAAGACACCTTGCTCCACCTTTGTTCCCATTTCCGTGTGCGAATCGAAAGCGATTTAGCGTCCCGGGAGGAAAAGAAGGGGAAACAGAGGAAACTTCGCGTCGAAGCCCGTTAATCCGCGCGGCACGGTAATATTCGCGGATTCCAGTCGCGAGGAACGAATTACTCGGATTTCGTGTGACACAGTTTCGAGCGGGTCTCCATCCCCCGCCGGTGGCCAACCCCTTTAGGAAGCGTCACGGACACGGGAGATACGGAGCCGGCAAATCCGACGATATCTCGCGGAGCTGCGATGCTCGCCGGAAGCGTAGCGGATTTAACTCGTACACGGGCGAATCTACGACGTAACAGGCTGAGATACGCGACGTCGGCACGCACACTCCTCCGCGAGCCGTCGACCGTGCGCGTCCCCCGCGCGTTGTGTTAGTCTGGACGGAACGGTACGTGATTGCGACCGTTTTCCCGGTGAACGCGGCCGAGTCACGCGATGCTCTACAATCGGTAGTTCCGGCCGGCGAGTAGCCGAGAGATTTTTGTCATTCCCACTGAAACATCCCCGAGTTCCTGGACGAAACACGGGTCCGAGATGTCGGAGGTCGAGCGGAAAAATCGTCCAGCGTTACGGTCTCGCGTGTCGAAGCGACCGATTATTAGAATCCGTTGACTTTAACGAAGCCGCGCGATCGGATCACAGGCCGACATACGTCCTTCCCGGTGTCAGGGCGCTCGTTGCGATCGATACGATCGGATTGTAAAATGAGACGTCTCCCGGGGACATCCTGCCGATCTTGAATTTCGTTGGAATACGTTTCTCGCCGCATCCTGAGATTACCGATTTCTCTTCGTGCCGTTGTCGTAACGAGACGACGTTACGAGACGAGAGAAGACGAGACGAGACGAGACGAGACGAGACGCGACACGACGCGGAGGAGCAAAGTGTGGACGCGGCGACACACAGAGAAGATATCGGCTGGTACGAGGAAACGAGTCTTCTTTGTTTTCTCTTGCTGTCCCATCTAACGAGGCAGCAGGACCCGGGAGACCGGCTCCGCTCGTTTGCGCGCGAGGAGAGGGCCGGGCTCGTTCCGTTCTACAGGAAACAGCGTAATACAGATCGCCGTCGTGGAAGCGCGTTCGAGCGGCCGTAAATAAAATTAATATTGCGCCGCGCCGTGACCGTGGCGAACGGAATCGTCATTACCGGTCGGTCGGTTCGTTTTTCTCGCGTACGCTAATTATAGAATCCCCCGGGGACTTTAACGCGCGAGCATAAACGATCGATGGGGAAAAAAGCGGGACCGGCGACGGGGTCCTCTCCGAGGACGGGCTAGATCGTTAGAGGCTTCGGTGATCCGTGTTACCCTACCTTCGCGCCTCCCGTCGCGCGAATACGCGCCAGG